TTAAGCAGAACAGAATTAAATCTATTTTGACAGTCTTAATAAAACTTCAAAAGTGATTTAAATGTTTACAAAAGAAGAACTCTAAAAGATTCAAATAATATAATATGTTGTCTAAGAGATCTTTGAAAATATTTTATTATGCAAGAATTTGGCTTCAGTTGAATAGACAAATATAATTGTACAATATATTTTCCAAATGTATAATAATTGTGGTTATGTAAAATCTAACCATTTACCCTGACCATTTTAATAACAATTATAGTTGAATACAGTGGCTCTCCCCTGTAATCCCAAGGACTGGGAGCATGGCAGGTTACCGCAGGAGGATCCCAAGTTCAAAGTCAGACTCAGCATTTAGTGAGGCTCTAAGCAACTTAATAAGACCCTGTCTCAAAATAAAACATAAAAATGGATGGCAATGAGGCTCAGTGGTTAATTGCCCCTGGGCTCAATTCCCAGTACCAAAATAATAACAACATCATCATTTATTACAAATAAATACCTTTTAGTCTTATTTCTTTTTAACCTCTTCACTGAACAAACATTCCCCGGAGAAACTGGATCCTTCTAAAATTAATTTTCACTAACGATCACTAAAAGGGCAAAACAGTATAAGGAAGACCTAAGTGAGAAATAAGCAGGCTTGTATGGCTCCCATAGACTAGAATTTAAGAAACACATATATCGCAATAAATGTGACTTCAACTGCTTATCGGACTCACTGTCATCTCAAATGTATCATGTTATCAACTTAACTCTTCATATCTTTTACCATCATATACAATATTCCTCTTAAACAAAACAAAGAGTTGTCTGGACTTCCTTATTTCTCTCCTGGCATCAAGGGATCTGTCATAGCATTTTCATCTATCAGTCACTCATATGAGAAACTTTGAGTTCAGGATCTCATTAGCTCCTGCCTGCATTATTTTAATAGGCTCCTAATTTGTCTCCTCATCTCATCTATTATCACTTGAATTCAAAAGCATCAGCCTGCTAGCAAACTCATATATCACTTTAATCACATTACAACTCAGTTCAAGAATTGTAGCTTGAATTTTATCCTATGAGCCATGGAAAGCAAACTCTTTATAATGGCATTCAAAGGCTTTTTCTAATCTTATCTTCTGCTTCTGTTCAACATGAACTCTGTGGAATCAGAATGATCTAGAACCAATTCTATGAATGTCTTGCTCAAGCTGCCCTCCCACCTCACTTTCTTGTCAATGCAAATTCATCCTCCCAGCATACTCAACTGAAATGCAAATACAGTTTCCAGTAACCAGTACAGCTATAAATGAACTCTTTTCCTTTAGAATTTCAACAACCCTCACATATGTCTGACCCACAGGCAGGGCAGCAAGTCATACTGACTCCTACTGACAAATAATTATAATTATTTTTATTAACTTGGGGTAATTTTTTGTGGACCCTTTATTTGTTGTACTTCTCACAGCTCCTAACAGCTAGAAAACTGGTAAATGCACAATTAMTATTTGGTGAACAATGAATTATCTGCATGTTTAGGTTTTATACAAAGCCAAGTGTGTGGTGCGTATGTATGTGTRTGTGTGTGAGAGAGAATTTTCTATATATCTCCCAGACGTTTCTCTAACAAAACAAATATTATTTTACATTAGTTCATGTATGGGGATTCCCAAGGCCATCCCTGGGTTTGGTGATTCCTTAGGAGAACTCACAGGAGTTGTATTATGGCTACGATTTATTACAGCAACAGGATACAAAGCAGACTCAGCCACAATTTCTTTAGCATCAAATTGTGACATGTGTTGTCTACTAGGAAAACTCATTAGAGACTCARTGCTGAAGGTTTTTATTAGGTTGGTTACTTTAACACCCTTTACTTAATTTGGACCCAAATGCATGACTCTCAGAAGATGTTTATCACAAATCACACTTTGTGCAGTCTAGGCACACTGAGCAGCTTGTATCATTTAGATGAAGTTTTATATCATATAGTATCATAAAGGGTGAAGCTTATCACAGGACAGTTTTTCATTTACACTCAGGTTCCCAGACACTAGCCAAGGGCAACCTGGTAAACCTTTCTAAAAACAGCAGTCTTGAGTGTGCTTTATTATACCTTTTACATATTATTGATTTCACATTTTTATGGGAGAAATGTTACAGTGTTTAAATGTTTTTGATTTAAAAGGGACCCACAAACAGATTTTTAGAAATTAAAGCCTAGCATTTAATTACAGTTGCATTCCTAGACTGGCATCCACTATGTAAGAGTTATGCAATTTTAAAATAATTTACTTACCACTGGTATTTCAGGATTTCTTTTTTCTCTTGTAAAATGAGGAATATTTCTTAAATCAACATTTTTGTACTTGTTAAGAAAAAGGAATTAAGTATAACATCTAAAGCAAACAGACCTTCTTGAACAAGTTGGTCATCTCCTCTTTAAATGCCAACTGGACGCCAAAGCACTGTTAGGTGTCTTAGGCACACCACCTTACTAAATTCTCAAAATCGCCTCAAGTGTCAGCGACTATTTCAATTTTACAGATTTTTAACTTTGAGAGCCTAAGTAACCACAACCAGGTCTACCATGGTGGAACTGGGATTAGGCTTAAACCTACCTCATTCCAAACTCTTGTTCTTAGCTTTATGCTAATTCTCTCTACCTAACTTCAAAGGCACATACTTCTTATTTTGAATCATTTCTCTCAAACTCTGTTTTTGTTTGTTTGTTTGGCTGTACCAAGCACTATTCTTTTTTCCCATAAATACAAATTTGTAATGATAAGAACTGAGGAGGAGGGATGTGGCTGTAGCTTAGTGGCAGAGCACTTGCCTAGACTGTGTGAGGCACTGGGTTCCATCCTTAGCACCACATAAAAATAAACAAAGGCATTCTGTCCATCTACAACTACAAAAATTAAAAAAAATAAAAAAAGAATTGAGAATGGGGGGTGATGAATCAAGAATCAGTTTTCTCATTCTCTGCTCAGCCTAAAAGGTTAAAAAAAAAAAAAAGGAAAAAAAATCAAGCAATATGCTTACCTGTGTTTACTTTGATTAAAGCCAGATTTTAGTTGGAAGAGAAAGGGTGAAGCTTATTACAGGATAGTTTTTCATTTCCAAGTCTTGCAGAAGATGAATCAAATGATACCCACTGCACCTTAAAACCATAGGAAGCTGCCTATTTAGAAACTCTTCAGCACAGAACACACTTTCCCCCTTTATCTGGCATCACCCTGTTTGAAGTTACACCTGTATCAGAGTCTCGGCATTACACATATCATCTGTGGGGACTTTGAGTCATTTATTCACAAAATGTGGATCCCTAGGCTTGCTGTGAGAATTAAATAGGATAGTATATTTCAGGAGGATCGCAAGTTCAAAGCCAGACTCAGCAATGGTGAGGCGCTAAGCAACTCAGCCAGACAATGTCTATAAATACAAAATACAAAATACAAAATAGGGCTGGGGATGTGGCTCAGTGGTCGAGTACTCCTGAGTTCAATCCCCGGTATGAAAAAAAAATTATATTCAAAAGGCCTAGTGGACATGTTTTCTGCAATGACTAAATAACTGACTTTAAGAAGGTAGTCGGCAAGTGTCCTGACCACCAGGTGTCACCATTGGGCCAAGAGTACTCACCTAACTGCTCCAGGTAGGGGAGTAGAATCCAGCAGCAAAACAAGACTGTCACTTTCACCTACAGTACATTCAGAATTCATATGGGCTTTTCCATACCTTGGGAGCTGGTATATATATATATWTTTTGCACCATTCATTGTTCTCTTACAGGTGTGCTAAAAATTATTGTACTATAATTAATTAGCTGAATACCCTCAGATTTGTTACTACAATTTAATTTTTTTAAATTATCCTCAGTGGACTATTTATTAATTTTGAGAATCAATAGTGCTTTATACATCCTTTGGTTTAGCCAACCAGACATTATCGGGCTCCCATAGACTTCAATATTGCCACAGTGGACAATTTTCTGGCTCCAATTCCACAATCCATTGACATTATTTCCTTCACAATTTTAATGGGATGACAGATAAAAAAGAAAGTACAATATTTTTAGTGTAAAAAAACCCACTGTATGTGGGTTAAACAAAGATTGTTAACCCTTCTCCTTGACCTCAGAACTCAAAAATTCAGTTATTAACTTTTTGTTTTCTATTTTCTTGAAAAGAAAAAAACACCCTAGGGCAAATCTCTCAATCTGTGAATAACCCTGAAATTACTCAAGGAACACTGCCACACCTGGCTGCATTCTGGAACCTACTAATGTCTCTCCCAGAGAGTGCATGGGGCACACAAGGAGAGGCTCATTTCAAAATGAGCTCAGAATTTGGGCTTCCCTCCTGGTTCTAAGTCCCCCACATTGAGACTCACAGTGGTCACTTCAAGACAGGTAATTCGATSAGCATTAGCTCAGAGCTGGAGGTGCAATCTATAGTCTCATGGACTGTTGCCTCATCTGCTAGGAACACTTGTCTTACGTTAAGGCCGACCTGGCCTACCTCAGCCTCAATCTGGGCGCGCAAAACCCCTCCTAGCCCACCAGAAAGAAGAATGACAACAAGCACAGGCTCTTCAGAGCGGGTGAACAGCTGGGGTCATTTTTGTTTTTAACAACAGCTCCAATTGCACTTTGTATTTTACAAATATGGAAATGTCTTARGGGAAACAAGAAGCATCCTCTCTCCCCCTTTGGCCTTCGCTCCCATTCCTAGAGAATTGGGAGGCAAGAGCTGACACCAGGAACCATTTGGAGCCAGGAACGCAGAAGCCAAGGCCAACCTAGACAAACCCATTTGCGAAGCACTTTGTGCTGATCGATACATTCCTGACTGATTTCAGAACGGTCCCTGGAGGACAGCGAGCTCAGAAGGCTGGCTGCCCGGCTGGAAGGAAGGGGCCAAGGGAAGGGATGCTGTCCATGAACCAGCCAAGGCTGCGCAGGCGGGGCGCGGGGCTCGGGGGCTCGGGAGGCGCGGAGGGCGCCTTACCTGGAGGACTCCGCGGTGAAACTGCCGCCGTCCAGCAGCCGCATCTTGCAGAAGAGGACCCCATTGACGAAGGGTACCGAGGAGAGCTCCTCGAGCTCGAAGTCCACCTTAAACTTAAACTTCTTCTTCTTCATCATTGTGAGAGCCAGGCGCCGGCGAGCGGGCTGCGCGGGCGGGCGCCGCCGCCTTAGCTCCGCTGAGCCCCGGATCCGCCCAGATCCATGGCCGGGGCCGCGAGCTGCGCGCGGGGGCGCGGCTGGGGGGCGCGGCTGGGGGGCGCCGTGGGCCGACCGGGGCCGGGACCGCCGCCGCCGCCTCTCGCGGCAGCCCGGGCCGGAGCGCGGCGGCTGCGGCACGGACCCCGGCCGCCTTCGGCAAGCGGTTGTGCTGCAGCTCGCCCGGGGAAAGAGCGTCCTTTGGTGCGCACCTCGCCGCTGTCGCCACCCTTCTGAGAACGGCGAGAGGCGAAGCTCAGAGTACGGTCGCGGTCTCCGCCTCAGCGACTCGGGCCGGGGCGCCCCCAGCGGCCGCGATCTGCAGCGCACCGCCGGGCGGAAGCGGGAGGCCCGGGGAGGGCGGGGAGATTCGCGGCGGGCGGGCGCCTCGCGGGGGAAACTAATCCGCGACGGCAGTTAGCGCGTCACGCCTCTCCCGGGTTAAAAAAAGACGAACGCAGCCAAAAAAGCTTCCTTCTACAGCTTCCTCGGCGCCTTTGCTTTCAGTTTTTTTTGCACCGCCTCTTTTCTCCCCCTCCCCTTCCAGCGATTTCTTTCCCTTGGGTTTTAGAGTGAATAGGGACCCTCAGAATATGACGTTGTTTTAGTCAAATTGAGATCCCAAAACTAAAATTTCCTTTAAATTCTCAACATTCGCGAACTTTCAAATATGACATAAAGAAGAGGAAAAAGCAAAGGAAGGAAAATGTGTTGAGGGCCTACCAAGTGCCCAGCCCTGTACTGATACAGGCATTTTTTTTTTTTTCTCATTTATGCCTTATCTAATGCCTGTCACCCAGGGTAAAAAAAAAAAAAAAAAAAAAAAAAAAAAAAAAAAA